CTCTGAGGGTGTTGCAGGTTGTAGGATAGTTTTGTGGACATCTTCACTTACAAGATACACAACTAAGTTAATGTGTTAAAGGTTCACTTCCCTTTTTAATTAAAAAAAAGAAAAAAGAAAAAGAAAATTAAGACACTAGGAAAAAAGACACATAACTTGAAAATCTACATGAGAAGGTCTAGCCATGAACATGGATTAAACAAGTGATGTGATTTTGAGCTAGTGACAGAAGGGAGAGCCTATGTGACTTGGACAAGACAGAGGCTCGATCTGGGAAAAACTGTGTCGGTAGAGAATGAAATGTAATTCAAGGTCCCCGTCTGGTTCTGTGATGATTGTGTTTACAACTGTCCAGTTTAGCAGCTATGTTATTGTTTTTCAACTTTTAGGCTACTCAAAAATATAGAAGCATTAATTAGAATATAAGTATTATCAGTTATGATCTATTATTAAAACTATAATTGAGAGAATTTGTCTAATAAGACAAAGTTTGAGTAGCTACCAGGCTGGATCTCCAGAATAAGAAGCTGTACACCCCAAATTGAATAAAATAACACATATTTAGTGATGTCATAAAATGATAACTCCAAAAATCACACATGAAAGAGTATCAGATTACAGATGGTGTCATAGATATTATCTATAGATATTATCAACAAAAATGTAGAACCAATATGGTGTTATTCTTCTGATATGACAAGACTGCTGAACTCATGACATCACAGTGGCTGTGGTGTCTTGCACAAGATCTGCACAAGATCAAGCCTATTAGCATTCCAGCATGTGGTAGGGAGGTTCTCATGAGTCCCCACTTCAGCTATTGACAGCTGATGAGTTCTGGCAGAGGGAGGGTTAGTTCTCTTTATGGATGTGGCTCCTGGTACACTGACAACACATCAGCAGATAACCCGACACCCACGCTTTTATGCATGGCACATACTGGACTTAGTGGGTTGCAAAAACCATGGACATGAAGTTGGGAGTGGGGTAATATCTGGAAGGAGTTATGAATGACTATGATCAAAATACATTTTGGGCATGTAGAAATTATCGAAGAATTAATAAAACAAATTCTATTGGGCAGAAAGGGCAACTTCTAAGAGTGAAGAGAACAATGAAATTGGGAATATTAGTTTTTATTCATAAGTTCTTTCCTATTTGAATTTTCTTCACATGATTGGGCTAATTAGATGAAGATTTAAAAAGTCTGTTTATAAATATCTATTTTTCCCAGTAGTATTTCTCATAATGGCTAAAAAACAATATTCCTTCTGCAAATAGTAAAAGTTGAATGAAGTTTATTTCAGACTCAGTTTAATTTATTGCATTATAATTGGTATAGCACACACACTCCTATCTTTTAGAATTCCTCAGGCATTTGAATAACTGAACTGGATTTAAGATTATATGGCACATCAAGTTTCAGTAAATAAATAATTACAAATATTTCTATTCATTACTTGCGTATTTTTATAATCTTTCCTAAGTCAAAGTTGATTAACTATTCCCATTATAATAGAAAAGCAAATTTCAGCAATTGATACTCCAGGGTTTACAGACAACTAGTTATAAAGCCTTACCTGTAAAGACTCCATTTTACATAATGAATTTAGTTCACATAAATAAATAAATCACCTGTGTAGAAAACAGTGTGCTGGCTGGCAATTGAAGCATTATCTTTTTACAAGCCCTTGTAAAACATGACTGTTTTCTCAGTGAAGTCTCAGATTAGCTTCCAATAATTGTCATTTTGAGTTTTCTGTGAAACTGGGAAGCCACTGGGAAGGCACTCAGAGCTGGGAACTGTTGAAAACTAATGCACAAAGTCATGCTTACCCAGACTTTTGGACTTGGGCAAAAATGGCACAAGAGCAAAGAAATGTGCCTGTTCTCTGGCCTGCCTGCCTGCCTGTCTGTCTGTCTATCTATCTTACCTTTCCTGCTGAATTGTCCTGGAACCTGTGGCAGAAACTTATGAGGAACTTTACATTTTTTTTCTTGCTTTTTTTAAATTTTTTAAAATTTTTTTATTAATTACACTTTATTCATTTTGTATCCCCCCATAAGCCCCTCCCTCCTCCCCTCCCGATTCCACCCTCCCTTCCATTTCTGCATGCATGCTTCTCCCCAAGTCCACTGATAGGGGAGGTTCTCCTCTCCTTTCTGATCTTAGTCTATCAGTTCTCATCAAAAGTGGCTGCATTGTCCTCTTCTGTGGCCTGGTAAGGCTGCTCCCCCCTCAGGGGGAGGTGATCAAAGAGCAGGCCAATCAGTTTATGTCAGAGGCAGTCCCTCTTCCCATTACTAGGTAACCCACTTGGACACTGACCTGCCATGGGCTACATCTGTGCAGGGGTTCTAGGTTATCTACATGAGTAGTCCTTGGTTGGAGTTATGAGTCTCTGGGAAGTTCCCTGTGTTCAAATTTTCTTGTTCTTTTGCTCTCCTTGTGGAGTTCCTGTCCTCTCCAGCTCTTACTATTTCCCACTTCTTACCTAAAATTCCATTCAGGCTCACAACCATAAATATAAGGAACTTTACATTTTTAAAAATTACCAGTGATTTGTTTGTGTGTTCTGAGACTCTGTCTGATACTCTCAGCATTATTTTGTATTGGTTTTATGTTTTTTTTTTTTTTAAATGACACATTCCCTAGTTGAATATCAGATTCACAAGAGTAGGCACTTGGTAAATTTAACTTTTTGGTGTTTTCCCCAGACCCTTTCATGGCTGGCACTCAGCTATTAACTTGAGCATTAAAGATAACATGCCTACTACTGAGCATTGTACATTTCTAACTATGGATTAGGTCTCTATTCTAGTTTCATTTCTTTTACTATGACAAAATAGCTTCGCAAACAACAGCTCAGGAGAGAAAGGGGTTGTTCAGCTTAAAATTCCATGTTACAGTTTATCATTGAGGGGAAGTAAAGGCAAGAACTCAAGCAGCTAGTCACATCACATTCACAGTGAAAAGTGGAGAGACATAAATGTGTGAGGGCCCATTTCCTCACCTGCTTGCTGTCATCTAAATTTCTTATCTTTTATTCAGGAATGGTGCTACCTACAATGGGCTGGGTCTTCCTATATCGATTAAGTCTCAACACAGTCTTATACAGACAATCCCACAGGATGATATAATCTAGGTAATTCTCCATTAAGACCCTTGGCCAACACAATTTACATTCCATGTTTTTTTTTGTGTGTGTGCATGACTTTTTTCTCTCAAGAGAGAGAGAGAGAGAGAGAGAGAAAGAGAGAGAGAGAGAGAGAACAGAAAGATAAAGTTGGATGGGTATGGAGAAATTGGGGAGAAAAAAGTATATGATTAAAATATGTTGCATTAACTTCTCAATGAATCAGCAAAAGCATAAGAAAATGACTCTTTCCAGGTAAGCCTAGGTTGTGTCAAGTTGATAATAAAACCTAACCAGCAAGCCCCATCCCAAGTGTGTTACACATACATGCATTTAACCTTCAATGTGACGCTGTGTGGTAGGTATTCCTTACGTAAGTCTGTCTCATTTTTACAAGTGAGAAAACGAAGTCCCAAAGAGGCCAAGTAGCCCGCCTTGAGTCATAAAGCTAGCTGTAGATAGAGCTGGATTCATCTTGGTTCCCTCAATAAGCCATTAGATTTCTAGAAGGAGCTTAGGTCTTTTCATGCAGAATGGTGGTGAGTGCAAAGAGGATTAGTGGCTGGACAGATATAAGATTGTACCCAGTGGTGATGATCTTGGTAAAAGTTGATCAGCCCTGGTCTTAGAAAATTGTTGCTTTTTCAGGGACAGATGATGTTCAATGTGTGAAAGCAGGGGTGGCAGCTCTTCCAGTGGCTCAGGCTTATGCATGGCACCACACACAATGATATCATTGAGAGCAGTGGATTGCTTCACCGTACAACAGGAGGCTGTGTGTATAGAATGATTTTCACCTTTCAAAGCATTTGATGTACTTTATCTTACAAATTACACTGTGAGGAAGCATTGTGATTTCCACTTTGCTAAGATACGGAAATTGGAAAGGCTGAATCCTCTACCGTGTGCCACGTCTACAATGAGGCCTGAGGATTTGTTTTTCTGTTCTATTGCTCTTGAGTATTGAAGTGACTCCTAGGTATATGGAGTGACAAGGAAGCTATGACAATCATTAATTTTATTTTTTCATTTTTTTTAAGTGTAAGTAATTTCGGGCACAGATAGATGGTGTTTTCAGTCCTGGAAGTTGCCTTATCTATACAAAATAACATGTGAGTACAAACATTTCATTGCTCCCAAATAATTTTTATTTTATGATAAATATTCTCTACTTTGGAGGTAAAAATGGTTGAATTCACACAAGTGGCTCAATAGCTATATTCACTTAGTAATTAGAAAATTTCAGAAATTTGATTGTTTAAATACAGTCACAACTTTCTTCCTACCTGGCATACAGTAGCAGTGATCTATCAGGATTGACTGTTTCCTGAAAAGGGCCTGTAGATATCCTTTGACATGAGAAGAAGATACTTTGACAGCCAACATCTCTTGGGCAGTCTACCTCCACACCTGACTTCTTTTGTATAAGCTGGTTCTATCTTTCTGCTCTGTGTACAGGGACTCATGTGGCATACTCATTCTGTATAAGTGATGTCATCAGTCACCAGTCTTAAGCACATTAGAGGTGACAGAGAAGCAGGCACCTCCTAATCTGTCAGCTTCAAGCTACTTTTGTGGTAGCCTGACCTCTGTTTCCAGCTTTTACAAATACTGGCATCACCCTTGAAAGTGAGGTATACAAAACACCTAATAGAGTTTATGGGAATAAAAAAATATTCACAATATTGCTAGTGTGGTTGTTCTGGAAGTAACAGTGGTCACTGGTATCTTTGCATTCTACATTATCTTCCTTTGTTCATCCCCTATGGTAGAAAGCATCCTTTGACTTCTAGGATCCAGTTTATATTAACATCTCTTTATGTGGAGATAAACATTCACAAAGGAGAAGAGAGAGGTGGTTACCTTTGGTCATGACGATCCCTGCCAGTGTTTTGTGGCGGGCATACACAGACATCAGGCCAACTGTCAGTTCACGGAACTTCTGTGTGACCAGCTGGGACACAGAGTCTGCAAAATCCTGTAAGACACAAGCATCAGTGCTTTTTGATGCGCAGGGCAGAAAGAACACGTGACAGCTGGCTATTGCACCCCCCCCCCCCAGCATGGCAGTCTTCTCCAGGGGAGCCAGGGCTTGCCTGCTGCCTGATTCTGTCTGATCCATGACCTTAACAAGGAGTTGTTTGTGAGGAGTTAACCCCAGCAATGCCTTGGCTGGAAGTCAAGCTTGAGCCCGATTGAGTTCTTGCTCTGTATCAGGGTAGGTCTTTAACCTGTGTCTGAGAAAGACCCTACTCTGTGTCTGAGCAGGTCCTGGACCTGTGTCTAAGCAATTCCCTGGCCCATGTCTGAGCAGGTACCTGCCTACCCTGTGCCCTTTACTGAGCAGGCAACTTTTGCATAAAAACATACAGTTGTTTCTTATCCTTGTTCTGCATAGCAGCAATCTCAAGGGAGACATTCAGGTAAAACTTGATGAGGGGGTAATACATTATTATCACCGTTATCACTGCTTTCTTTTTAGAGAACGGTTCTCAACTTTCCTAATGCTGTGACCCTTTAATACGTTCCTCATGTACGGGGATCCCCAACCTTAATTATTTTCATTGCTACTTATTTCATAGCAATCATTTTCATTGCTGCTTTATAACTGTAATCTTGCTTCTGTTATGAATTGTAATGTAAATATCTGATATGCAGGATATCTGATATGTGATCCCAAAGGAGTTACAACACCCCCTGGTTGAGAGCTGCTGTTTTAGAATCAGAGATTAGTGTTTAAGTAGCCACAACACATCAGGGCTACTCTTCTGGAGAACTGATCGCTACAGCTTGCGCCCCAACCTCTTCTTGCTCCTTCAGACAGATGAGCATACAAGCACACACATACCATGTAGTACACATAGCACACACATTCACATACACACAAATATACATGTGTTCACAATACACAGTGCATGCACATGTATACACACATATACATACACATATGTATCCAAACACACAAGCACACACATACATACATATATGCACGCACAAATGTATACACAGCAAGTTAACTTGTCTTTACTTAACTGATCCTAAGGCTAATTCACATTTCCAGTCAAGGAGCACATGTACAGTGAGTAACAAAGCCTAGAAGGTCTGACTCTGTGGCCACGCCTCCTCCAGGTCCTGCAGCTGCAACCTTGTGTTCTAATTGTGGAACTCCAAGTCTAGGATATCTTGCGTGGTATGCCTGTCACAGGCCTTGCGGCAGAGGAACCTGGTTGGAATCCTAATTTTGCAGCCTATGAGTTGGGATAGGTCATTCAAAACATCTGAGCCCTGTTTAACCAATTTACAAGGTCATCCTCTTAATGTTCATCTGACCATGTTTTGGGAAGGATTAAATGAATGATCACTTCTTAGATGCTCAGCACAGTGCCCCACACTTGTTTATTTTTATTTTATGTGCATTGGTGTTTCTCTTGCATGTATGTCTGTGTGAGGGTGTCAGATCTTGGAGTTACAGACAGCTATGAGCTGCCATTTGGGCGCTGGAAATTGAACCTGGTCTTCTGGAAGCACAGTCAGTGCTCTTAACTACTGGGCCACCTCTCCAGGCCCCCAGCTTTTTTTTTTTTTTTAAGTGAATTAGATGTTCATGCTTCCATCATGTGCACGTTGATATTGTAGAGGCAAATGGTGTGTAGACATCTGTTATATAAAACTAAGAGATAAATTGCCGGTTAAAGATTTCATTTGTATGCAATAAAAGGTGTTCCTGCACAGCCAGGGCTGCCTCAGGAGACAATGGTGACCTCAACAACAACCCAACAGTCCCCCTCCCAGTTCCTCATTGATAAAAGGTGGGCAATGGGAAGGGGCCAGGGCTGCCTCTTTCCAGCACAGCCTCTAAGACTGGACAGCCGCTTTCCTTGCTCTCGTCACTGTCATGGCAGGTGCTTGTGTTTTGAAATAGTCTATAAATCACTACTGAAACCTTGTAGAGGACAGATCCCCCACAAACTGGGTAGCTCTAGTGCTGGGTGGGGAGGGAAGAGGTAAACCCCGAATTATCTTGAATTTTTGTTTATGTAGCTTCTACTTAGCTCCCCCCCCCACCCATACACTCAAGCTCCTTTGTGAGAGACCATGCCCTCTAGGGGTTTGCCAGAGAGACAGATTTTAGCAATAAATCCTGGGTCTGCTTCAGTTTGCCCTGTCCTTTTGTGTCTTATGAACTGAGGGCAGTCTACATTTCTGGACACTTGGTGTGCTAAGACATGAAAGTGCTGGGGGATGATGTTAACTAGGGGGCTCAGAACAGTAAAGTGTTTATGTATTACAGTTCTGGAGGCTGAAGCCCAAGTTCAAAGTGTCACAGGGCTGTACTGTCTCTGAGGGCTCCAGTAGAAGGGTCTTTCTGACTCCTATAGTGTCTGTTGCTCTACAGTTTGTCCCTAGGGGCCAGGCCTTGAGGTTGTATAGCAGGAGCCTATCTCCTGTCCCCTCTCTGCTTCTTCAGTGTAGATCCACACTCCCCTCCCTCCATGCTGTGACGGATGGTATCTCCAGGAACTGTAAGGCAAAACAAACTCTCTTCGTTTATAAGTTGCTTCTGAGATTCTGGCAAGATGCTCCATCTCAGCCTCTGTCTTCTTATGGCCTTCTTGCCATGTCCATGTCTTTTCCTCTTCTGCCTCCTCTAAGGTCACTTTGCATCAAGCTCATGACCCCCATGGATTATCCAGAAGGAGCTCTTCTCAAGACCCTTCACTGGATTGTATCCACGAAGATCCCTTTTCCAAATATGGTTGAAGTCACAGTTATTGCCTGTCTTGGGGACACTCTCCCTGGTGCTGATTTCTGCCATTGTTTTTCCACTGTTGGCTATAGAAGGGAGGGCAGCTATTTTGTTGTTGTTGTTGTTGTTCTCATAGAGCCAGGACCTATTAATTGCTTTTCTTATTGTTGTGACCAGACCAGAAAGGGTTTATTTCAGTTTATAGTTCCAGGAGCTATGTTCCATTATGCTGGGAGAAGGCATGGTGGAAGTGTCGTGTTCGCAATCAGAAAGAAGGGAACAGGTAGGAGATTGGGCCAGGCTGCAGGAATCCCAAAGCCTGCCCTGTGTGTTCTACTTCCTCCAGGAAGGACCCACCTCCCGAGGACCAAGTATTTGTACCCATGAGTTTTTGGGGGAACATTTCACGTTAAAACTGCTATATGTGATTTTCCATAAATTCTATTTGTTTTTGAGCAGCTAGCTTAATTTTTAGATTGAAAAAAAAATGAAAGGCATGCTCAAACCACACCATCATGGTCATGTGTGGATGCCCTCAGTGGCAGATGAGGTAGTATCCTCCACAGCAGACTCCAGTTCTCACTGTCATGAAGGATGGTGCATCATCCCCATCCAAAGAGAAGGTCTGACGTCAAGTCATGCTCCCCGTGCTATCTTGAGAGCTCAGGAGCCAAGCTCTGACCTGGAGATAGGGAAGAGCTCAAGATTTGGTTGCCATTTACAGTTCCTACCCCCAGGGGTACAGATGGTACCAAGTGCTCACAGTGAAAGCCCAGAGAAAAATGACCAAAACAGCTTATCAGGAAAGAGAGCAGCCCCACCACCATGTGTGGGGGTTTGGGTTCACCTGCTTTATCTTTCCAGAGCTCCTGGGCATCTTCAAAGGGGGATGCACTCCTAGAAACCAGATTTGATGGCTCAGGCCTGGCTCTAAAAATGAGACACATGTGGAGTACCGATTCCTAACAAGAGGCATTTCTTAACACTTTTTGTATGTGCCTGATATGGCCCTTGCTGAAGGCCTCAGAACAAGACAGCCTCCACTGAGTAATTCCACAGATAACAGAAAGGCCAACTTCATTTTGGAAATTTAAATATCACTCCGTTTCTTTACAGGATGAGAAGAAACACAGAAACCAAAGATTTGGGTCCTGTGTAACATTATCTCATTTAATTCAACCAAAGAGGGTAACTAGCTTTATCCCCTTTGGTCACTGAAATGATGCCACCAAAGTAACATGGCCAGGATGTGACTGACACAGAACTTAAACCCCACTGGTATAACTTTGGCCTTCCATGCTAAACTGGTAACCCAATAGCTCCAGCAAGGAGCAGGATTCACTTCCAAGACTCCCCACAGGCTTAGTTGCCTCTGCATGCCCTGTTTGTACATGGCTGTAACTGAGTGCGCACTGTCATCCTGAGGAGGGCCAGGGTGTATGCAGAAGGCCTAGTATCCCTTGACACCCTCTGGGCTGGTATCCCAGGATGCTTTGCACCCATTATGAGTTAATTAGCCCTGAGCCACAGCGATCCCCTAATGGAGTCATTTGAGGAAATGCTGAAGCAGAACAAATCACATTTGGTCTGGATCTCAGCATTTCCACAGATGACGGGTTCCTCGACTCACTTGGTTTGGCAGAGCACATGGGCCGATGGGACTTCAGGTGCTGTTCACAGAGTGACAGAGACCTCTAGCTAGCACAGATGGCTTAGAACTGTGAAAAGCAGCGTGATGAGATTGTTCATATGGGCAGGGTTTCCCTTATCTGGTCCAGGAGACCTGAGATATAGCTCCCAATTATTACGCCACAGACCCTGGCATACTAACACTCAGACTTGGGATGACCAGATCGAGGCCATCAGTAACTGGTTCCTGGGGCAGGTAGGTGGGGGCTTCATCCTCTCACCACACATAAACACCCAGGCTGTCATATCTGTTTATTAAGCTGTTATATACCATGCTGTCTCTGGTCCCTTAAATCCTAAGGACTGGTGAGATGACTCAGTGGGTCTTACTCATCTCCAAGTTTGTTGACCTGAGTTCTAGTCCCAGAAACCACATGATGGTAGGATATAACCAATGGCCACGAGTCAGTCATCTTCTCTATTCCACGAATACACACCCTTTCCCACAGACACATTTATACAAACAAAATGTAATACAATTTAAAAATCCTACAGTTGTTCATCATTTGCAGTATTTAGATGTCTTTTTTTTTTCATGTCTT